CTCACATCGTGGCTGTTAGTCTTTGCTGTGATCCCGGCTCCTGCTCGGAGCGGGAGTCGGTTAAAAATGTCCGACACGCTGCGTTACCTGAAACGTCTGAGCGTGTAATGCCCACCGATCCTCTCGCCTTTGATGTCAGCTTGTTCCCAAAGTGATAGACGTAGCCCTTGAGAACAAATTTTACGCTGCTAAATTTTCAAAGTAATAGCCCTCCTTGCAGCCTAAACCTTCTGCTGTGTTAACATGTTTTTACACCCAGATAACATGTTGTTGTCATTCTCTCTCGTTTCCCCCCTTCTGCTTCTTTGTCTGCTTCTCCTCCTTTTCTTATTCATACTGTTCACTCGTGAATATTCATCCACCCTCCTCATCCTTGTGCACCATCACTGGGTATGTCCATCTGTTTGTGCGTATTATCTGCACTGCTGAACTCCCGCATGACTGCTTCATCTCGTTTTGTCTGTCTTTGTGTAATGGTACTCCCATTTCATGTCTAATGCGTTTGCTTATGTGAACGTGGCCACCCGTCTGTGTGCCTTCCCCTGTATGCATTTGTCTCTACTTGTTTCAGGTTCTTCTGGGGGAGGTGAACGCAGGCCTGAACACCACCCAAGTGGTGGTCAAGGAGCTCAAAGCCAGTGCCAGCGTACAGGAGCAGATGCACTTCCTGGAAGAAGCACAGCCTTACCGGTACACCTTTACCTCCTTCACATGTGTCTGTAGTTTATTCTTATGTGGACAATTTAAGCAGTACATGTAAAATCTACAGTCTAAAAGTACTGATTGAAAGGGCAGAAGTAGCGCTTACATATGTCCAGTCTACTTTTTAATAAAGTCTCCTTAACTGAAGCTGGATCAGGTAAACCTGAGCCACCCCTGAGCATCTCTCATGTCTTTGTCATTTTTGTGTCCTCTGTCCTGACGTTTTAGTCCATTTTTGTTTGTCGTTTGCTCCTGGTTTCTCTCAATTCTCTTTCTTGTCACCCTTCCGGGTGTTTGAGGCAGACATCTGCAAATGTTTTATGTTTGAGATAAACTTATAAAATACTGACAGGCCAGCTTCATCATGTATAGCATCATGCTTTTGTTTTCCAATCACAATCAGTCAAATATTTGAGTTAAAACTAAGAATGCATGTCTTTAAATATACTTAATAAATACTGTAATATATAAATATTCATCCTAATAATTAATCCTTTATTTATCCCTGCAGAGGGATTCAGGCATTATCTGGGCAAATTATACTTTATACTTCCTTAGGAATACAAATGCAATGTAAAGCCAATACAATAACTCTGTCATAAACTCTTCTTTTAAAAATCGTATACTTTTTCCATTTTTG